AGGAAGGCGTGCTGGGGGGCCCGGGACGAGTTCTGGCGGTGCTTGGATAGGCACGCCGACGATGACTCCAAGTGCGAGAAGCTGAGGCTGTCCTTCGAGTCGCGGTGTCCGCAGCAGTGGGTGAGCAGCCGCCGCTCCCTACGCGTCCCCCTGCGCTCGGCCTCCCAAAGCTTGTGCTAAACAAACAGAGCAGTTCGTAACGGCATCGACAGGTCATTACGTGTACCTCGCTAACGACGGCAGCTCCCGCTTCTCGGGTGGCAGGACGTGTGCGGTCTTGCGCTTTCTCATCGATAACCCTGCACCCTCGTCAAACGTACCGAGGTTTGCACGTTTTTGGTCTTGCTGGGAGATCAAAACTCCTGAGCTGGATTTCGCTTTGTATTACCAATAATCTCTGTTCGTAGCAGTGAAAATAGCAAAGCGGTAAGACTACTTTTATTAAGGTGTCCATGGAAGTAATGGGAGTGGTTATGACAGGAAACTGGAGTTCACTTTCAAAATGATAAACACGTCCACAAAACACAAAAAACAAACAGACCCCAACACACCTATAGTCTTCTGCTTCGAGTGAGAAACTCCTAACTAGTATATTCAGTTAAAATCCTCCTTGAGCTCAGTGATCAAAGACGGTTTATTCCTTAGTCTTGTGATGGACAAAGCCTCTTCCTCTGCTGGTTTCTTCTGATGAACATCTTTTCTCTTTTTAAACAGGTTAAATACTTTGATAAAAGAAGAGACTTTTTAAAATACAAAAGGAAGCTTGAAACAGAAGGGTATCATCCTCCAGAAGCCGCTGGAAAGTCTTAGGTACTCTGCTTTCAAAATAAATCTAGTGAGGATAACCTATGGAAGGAAGAAGCACGAGAAAGCCACAGAAGCTGCTTGAGCTCAAGAATGGCTGTCTCCCTGAAATGCAGGCTGCCCTTTCTTGTTGCAAGGTCTCACGTGTCTGCTGAAAAAAGATGGTCACGGACAGCTTTTTCATGAGTACAAGTCAAAGAAATACAGTGCTAGGGCTGTTCACAAATTGTAAGGTTTTGAATGTATAATTAGTCAAATTATTTCACAGGAATAAATGATTATTTAAGTGTAATGTACGTATTCTAAAGAAAACAATAAAATTGTTTTTCAGTAAGTGAACCAGTTTTTCCTTAAAAAAACCAAACATTCCAACTTCCCCTCCTTGTCATAAGGAGGTGGTGTTATAATGTAATTTGTATTTGTCATTTACCAAGTATTTCTAAGTATTTTAAAATACAGTTTAAGTCAAACATCGGTTTATAAAACAGCAGGCATTAGAAGACCTAATGCATCCTGTGCATATGATACATTACTTACATATTTTGTGTCTACTCATTTTTTATAAGCAATAGGAGTTCCTACACTGGTGAGAATAACCAGTTTTCAATCAGTATCTCTGTTAGAAGTATGGTAGTTATTTATCATGTTTCTCACATTATGGCTGCCTGTGTAATTTAGTGGTTTTGATTACCTTACCGATGCAACTCCATTAAAGATACACACTGTTTACAGCAGGATTAGTAAACTTGACCATGGAAGGCATTTAGACAAGGGGCAGCACAGTCGATTTTTAATAATGTAAGTGAATTTACCTTGCAAAAACTATATAGTATATCCAGATGCTGAAGGCATTAAATACTTTACTCTGGCTAAAGTAAGTTTTGATTGTGGTTATAGGAAGGCACCACTTCAAATTCAAGCATGGTCATCACAATCAAAGTAACTGCAGTATGTTTTAGTTTGGGATTTTCATGGTACTATGCTGATGTTCTAATAGTAGAAAATCACACACACCACATGCAATATAAATAGTATTTATTTCCAATGCAACAGTTTTATTTAAGGAGGTAAAGTATTAAGGCATTTAAAAATCAGTCTGAACTACAGAGAACAAAACATGCAAACTTAAGAATCTTCATTCACCCTGAGTTTGTATCTCATCTATTCAGAATTTCATGTTGTAGCACCATAGTAAGTCACCCAGCTGTACTATAAGGCACGGAACTCTTGGCAGTTATTTTTGTTGTTTTTGCTTGATCACTTGTTGCCTTGTGTACTCCCAAATCAGCAGAGCTCCACTTACATGAACATTGAGTGATCGAATAATACCTTGCTGAGGAATTTCCACACAGACATCCAGGTGGTGAATCAGGTTTGCTGGGATTCCTTCATGTTCATTTCTAGTAAAGAAGAAACAGTAACTTGTATCTGGGAAAAGACAGGTGTTCCAGAAAGCAGAAGATGCAAAAGTCAGAACAGCATCAAAACACCATTTGACAAACGGTGCATCTGCCCTCAATATAACTGATGAGGACAAGAAACAATTTTTTTTTTTTTAAAGCAGTAATACATTACAGATACAAAGAAAACATGGGAGACCTGACTAAGCTTTGATGTAGGAAAACTGGTAGAGCACTTCATCTTTAATTCACTGGTCCAGCAACAGCTGAACACCCAACGTACGGACTCCCTCTCTGCCTTTATTTTGAAACCATCCTTATATAGCAAAATAAGCAGCTGAAGATGAAATGACCAGGGCATGAAGCTGCTGGCACAGCAGGGAAGCTCAACTGCCCACTTTACATTCATTGAGGTCTTGGTATGAGGGAATGTCAAGGCTGATGGAAGCCTTGAATTGGAAATGTTTCACCTCTTCAGAATGAGCACACTAGAAGGTACCAAAGGTTATCAGTAATTAAAACTGTATTTTTAATTAGAAGAGAACAAAGTGATTATGAGAACTACATTTTGAAGACAAGCTATATATAAAAAGGTTTGAAAAACAGGTATTTCTGCCCACTTTGTCCTAAAAGGATAAACAGACAGGCACTTCCTTCTGGTCTCACTTGGTGGCCCTGCAATTCCAGTAGCTTTCTAACTTGTAGGCACTTTCCTCTAGATTTCTTGAAGCAGTCTCCCCTTTGTCATATCTGAGGCTTGCCTGATAATAGGAACTGGTTATTGCTTTTCTCTGAAGTTATCCCAGCCTCTGCTTGTACTGCAAAAACTTGCTACTTCGTCCTGTGCCTCATGCTTAATTTTAAAGCATCTCCCAGCTATGCATGCTCCCACTCCGTTCCAGTCCTCCTCACCGAGTTAAGGAGGGCAAACAGGCAGCCCTTCCTTCTTGCTGAGCTCATCGCAGCCTACACGTACAGGGCCCTGTATTATAAGGTGAACAGATGATAGCTCTATCACACCTGGAAAACTATAATCCATGCTGTTGCTACCTCCACCATAAAAAAAGAAGTTGTAGTGTATGGATAGGTTATTAAGTATGAGGAAAAGGATCGTTCAGGAGTAGATATCAATACCTCCCACTCCTTAGCGCACAAAGCCAAGCTCTGCTGTTTCCATAATCACTTCCCATTCTAAATCCGCCTTTACCAGTGTCACTTGATTTTCATATGACCAAACTCGAACTAGTAGAAGGGATGGACTGCAAGAGGTAGATTTACAAGAAAGTGTGTGTTCTTACCCCAGCAATAATAGTGACTTCTCTGGGAAGCAATATTCTGTAAGATCAAAACTTTTAGCTGTCTGTTCCACACCAATAATAGTGTAGCCTTCTGTTTTTTTCTGCTGTAAATAATCAACAAGCTGAGATGGTTTCACCTGTCCATCAAAAGTAGAGAGGAAATATACAAATATTTAAATACTGCCATTTGTGAACTTCTGAAGTTACTGTGAAAATCATTTTACTTGGACAGTTTTTAAGATGAGTGACACTTATCCCCAAAGACTCTGTCCATTTATGTAGCTTACCATTTCAAAAGCTCTTCAGCAATAGCACAAACGGTTAAGTAATGCCACAAAAATGTACTCCACAAATACAATGAACAAAGGCTTTTCTATGCTTCTGACAACTACAAACATTACATGTGAATGTAAAAGAATCACTCTTGCATAGGGACAAGGTGCATAGGTGTTATTTAACCTAGCATCCCTTCCCAAAACAATACAACAGCCAGTATTGAAGCTGAGTTGCCTTACATGCCTGCATTACAACTTATGATAGCTTGCAGTGACAAAATTTCTTAGTTGTCTTCTTCCTACTCTCTAAACTGCTTGTTTGTACTAAATGCCAATTTCCTCATGCAACAGAAACTCTATCATTGGTACACTTCTATATAGATATTAGGCATGACAACATGTATCCATCAGCATTCCATTTTAGGCAAAACACACTACAGCTATCTTGTTCTGAAGAAAAATCTTAATAGGCTGAAAATAAACACTGGAAAAAAAAATGAAAAATTTGCACTGCATTTTTTAGATGCTGATCTTGAAAAACAGATTATTATAAAATATCATAAACATATTTTCTAGCAAATACTAAACATATAGGTTGAAACCCTAATTTTTATAAGCTAGATAATAGTTCTAAAAGCTTGGCACAAGTTAGCTTCAGGCAAACTCAAAGATTATCCCCATGAAGTTACCAGAAGCAATGGGCTAAGCAAGATAAATGAAGTGTTGTTCAACTCTTATAAATAACCATTAAATTCCAACACACCACTATAAAACAAAAAGTAAGATGTAACAATGACAGCTCACATAATCAGTTTATCACAGCAATAAGAAATTTAAAGTATTTTTTAAATTCTTTTTTATGAGGTTGATCCAAAGTTTATCCCAAAATACTCAAGATTAAGTCTCAGAGATAACAGCGGGAGCTTCTGTTAAATAAAAAGTTCATTTTGCAAGAGAAAAAAAAGTAAGACTCTAAACTATGCATCTGATGAACTGAAGATGTACAGTACACTTTTTCGCTATTAAAATATTTCCATTCACCTCAACAAGGGGGAGCCACTGCTCTGCAGAAACACTAAGATGCTGAAACTGCTTATCCTGTATATAATGAAGACTGCCAACAACCAGTGCAGATGCCCCAAATATTTCACTTGTACGACATAAACCTACAAACAGAAAAATTAAAGTGATCTTTGTGTAGAAAATAAACACCAAGACAGAATATTTTAGCAAGTGAAAAAGGACAAAGAATCTGAAAGAGAAATGGTTACTTTAGTCCTCTATTTTTAATCAGTTTCAGGTGCTTCTTATGTCTGTTCCAAGTCACACCTTGTTCCATATAATTTACCAGGAAAAAAAAAAGTTTTGTAACTCAGCAGAAAGATAAAAATTAGAAAAGCACTATGTCTGACAACATGCTTCTACAATACCCATTACACAAAGTTAACGGGTCAGTGTAAAAGCCTAGGCAGGGATGGATGGACACATACACACACTGAAGCTCTAAATCCAGTACCTGTTAAATGAAAGACTTGAGAGAATGACACGTTATAGCATTACAATGCAGACAGCACCAGCTTGTGGGCTTATTTTTCATTAACAGTCTCTCTGCAGGTATTTAAACTGCTGACAACAGCAAGCACAATGCAATAAAGTATTTGCAGGATTTACTGTATCACAGCTTGCATGATATTGTGAAGGAGTACCTAATCAGGAACGGGCACTTTCCTGTCCAACAGTCATGAGAAACTAGTAGGTCTACAAGATTTGGTTTAATTGTTATAGAAAAGTAAAGTAAAAGCAAATTCCTTTAACTGCATACACAGTTGAAAAACTCAACTGTAACAAATATAAAAAACAGTAAGAAACTGAGCACGATTTATAGCAAAGTTCTATTTAATTAATGCATGCTATGTGTAAGTTTTTTTTCCTTAAGATATAACTGTAGAAGACCCCTTCTTCTGAACCAAAAAACTTCTTTTGGTTACCAGTTTTTTTGCAGGATAATGATCTATTTCTCTGAATAATTTCTATTTCTCTTAAATAATTTTCTAATTATCAACGTAAGATGAAATTCATTCCTACTATTGAAGTGGGCTCTAAGGTCTAAAATAAAAGTTTAAAAATGTGCAATCAACCTTACCTCCTAAATTGGTAGGTTTATCAATAAGTGAAGCCACCACAATCAGTCTGCTGTTTGATTTACCAAGTTTAGCAGCACGATCCTGAAATACCATTTCCAGGTCTAAACTAGGAGTACTGTTCTTCCAGGGTATAATCTTTTTCTGAACATCAGTCCATTCTGTCTGGCTATCTGTTTCAACTGAATTTGAACCTATAAAAACAAGTATTAGTCATACGGCTATGCAAGCGGTAGTGAAACTACTGCTTCAGTAAAGAAGATTGTCTAAACGGTAATATTGTAGACACCATTAGTCATCTACTATTATTTTATGGCACATACTCTGCTCACACAGATACAAGGCTACTTTAGCAGGGTAACATAGAGATCAGATTGAATACAGATGTATACAGCTACTACATACAAATAATTATATTTAATATAGATTAGCTATATTTTACCCAAGTCTTGCTGAGACCAGTCACTTGGTTTCAGATCAAGAAGTTCCATTCGAGAATGATACCACTGAAATGTTGGTGGCAAAGGAACATCAGTGAATCTGTCAAATTTAGCAAGTGAGATCCATTCATCTTCAGCCAGTTCCGAAAGGCGGGGAAGAGTGTAAAATATTGTCTGTAATGTAACACAGTGTTATTAGCAGAGCACCACTAAAGCAAGCAAAACAGGTAATAAATTAACCTCTGGTAATTTTATCACACACATCTTTTATCTAGTATTCTATGATTTTAATCCTTGTTTTTCTTGGCACTTGATATAACTTACTAATACATCTCTCAATATTCATCACTTTACATATAGTGCTATCCCAAACTTTCAAAATCTAGTCTCTTTCTCTCTCTGATTAGACCTTTTTTAAGGATCTGCATTGAAATTCTACAATACCAAAGAATTACTGCTATGCTTCTCAGTACAGAGGTCTTGTGAAAATGTTTTACATGTAACACTGAAGAGTTTTCAGATGCCCTTATGAATTTCAAGTAAAGAATGTGGATTGATTTGATGTCAAAAGGAATACAGTCAATAGCATTAAAATCTAGTGGTAAAATCCAACTCAGCACTACCAATACAGCTAACCACAATCTATCAAGGAGGAACAAACACAGAAGACCCCAAGGGAAAGGCTGAATATGACAAAAAGTTTAAAACCCAGACTTTTTTTTTATCCCAATTGCACACTCAAGATGAAGGTGAAGATGCACCCTGAATACATTTAAATACTTAACAAGTATTAGCCTTGCTTCTCCCCCCCCCCCTCCTTGTTCAGGATTTTCACTTCGAAATTTTGCCAAGTCATATCTAGCATATTTAAGTGTTCACAAAAGTATTTCACAGAACATCAGTTAAAAAAAAAAGAAAAAAATTCCTTCTCTGAAAGATGGCACTGTTTGTCCCAGAACACACGTACCCCTTTTCACATTCATGTTTATCTTCTATTTTCAGCCTAGTTCCTCTATTTCTTATTTTTCTCTGCACCCTTATTTTTGCCTGTCTTCCCTCAGTGTGTATTCAGCTCTCAGTTATTTAAGCTATGGCAAAAAGAATAGCTGAAAAAGATGCTCTAGGAGTTATATATCTGTATCCCATTCACATTAAACAACAATTTAGTTAAGCAACCTCAAGTCACTTCTAAGAACGGAGGATGTCTCAAAAATCCTAGCAAACTACATGTGATTAGGTAGATGCTTTTCAGTTATTAGAAGTAACTTTTCCAGCCACAAATATAAAACCTGATTAACTCTCACACAGGTGGGCACATTCATCACACATACCTCTTCTTAATTGACCTAGGTTTTTAACACAGTATGAATTAGAGAATTAAGCTACAGTTTTAGTCTAAAAATCCATCACAATTTAGGTGAAGTAATTTTTCAGAGTTTTAAATGAATAATAGTTGATCAATAGTTGATCGTTATTCATCCTACATTAGAACATACAAAGAAAGTTAAAAATATAGTTGTAAAACTATGCAAATACAATGATCAGCAATAGTCTCGGACTTGCCTCTAGACTGTAATCCTCAAGTGGATGAAATGTTGCAAAGAAGAAATGGTCTTGGTGAAGTAATTTTTCAGAGTTTTAAATGAATAATAGTTGATCAATAGTTGATCGTTATTCATCCTACATTAGAACATACAAAGAAAGTTAAAAATATAGTTGTAAAACTATGCAAATACAATGATCAGCAATAGTCTCGGACTTGCCTCTAGACTGTAATCCTCAAGTGGATGAAATGTTGCAAAGAAGAAATGGTCTT